CTCCGCTTATACCTGGAATTTCGGAGACGGCATTACCCTCGTCAGCAGCAAGGATACGGTTACCCATCTTTATGCCTCAACGGGTATTTATACACCTGTGCTGGTGGTAAGAGATATTTATAACTGTACAGACTCTGTGAGGAAGCCAAACCATATAAAGATCAATGGTATTAATCCCCTGTTCGTTGCCAACAATACACATTCCTGCGGCCAGGCTACCGTAACCTTTACCGATCAGTCGACCAGCATCTCTTCCATTGTTGCCCGCACCTGGAACTTTGGCGATAGTACCATCGTTACTACAACAGGCACTACCATTAGCCATACTTACGCACGTGCTGGTATTTACACCGTAAGGCTGCACCTTACAGACAGCATCAGGTGTCAGAATGAGCTGACCAAGATCGCTTATATAACGGTGACGAAACCGGATGCAGTTTTTACAAGCACAGATACCAATATCTGCCAGAACAGGCCGGTCGTATTTACCAATAGAAGTACGGGTGTGGCTCCGATCACTTATAGCTGGGATTTTGGAGACGGCGCTACGTCAACCGTTGCCAACCCCTCTCACGTATATGCATCATCCGGCAACTATACGGTCAAATTAATTGCTACGGATGCCAATGGCTGTAAAGACACGATGACCAGGACCAATTATATACATATCAACCTGATCACTGCGGCCTATACAATGAGCGATTCCCTGGGCGCCTGTCCGCCATTCACCGTCAACTTCAATAATATTTCAAGCGGTGCCACCAGCTATCAGTGGAATTTCGGTAATGGCAATACCTCTACATCCGCCAATCCTTCAAATGTATTTGTACAGCCGGGCACCTATACCGTTACACTGAAAGCATTTAATGCAGGTGGCTGTATGGACTCCATGCAAAAAACAGTTCGTGTCAATAGCGGCCCTGCCGGCACCTTTACTTATACACCTATTGCGGGATGCTTCCCGATGACGGTTCATTTTACCTCTGCCAACACCAATACAACGGCCATTACGTTCGACTTTAATAATGGTATTACTCATACCACCAGTGCCAGTAGCTATAGCTATACTTATACCCAGCCGGGCAATTACCTGCCGGTCCTGGTATTGAGTAACAGCGCTGGTTGTAATACATCAGTTGTAGGCCCGGACACCATCCGCATTGCAAAAGTATATGCCGGTTTCAAAGCAACACCCGATACGATATGCCTCGGCAGTGCGATCAACTTTACAGATACCAGCCGCAGCGTTGCTACCACTATCAACAGCTATAACTGGAATTTTGGTGATGGCAATACAGCTACCGGCAGTGCAGCCACACATACCTATACTGCAGCAGGCACATACCGCGTAAGGCTTATTGTTGGCGGTACCAGTGGCTGTAAAGACACCGCTTATCGCACAGTGCTGGTACAAACCTTTCCGGTACTCACTGCCGCCGATAAGATCATCTGCGCGGGGGGCTCCGTCACCTTGTCCGTATCAGGTGCCAGCACTTATAGCTGGACACCCGCTACCGGCCTGAGCTGCACCAACTGTGCCAATCCCATAGCCAGCCCGACAACCACTACCACTTATACCATAACAGGTATTGCTACGGGAGGCTGTAGCAGCACCAAGCAGGTTACCGTGAGCGTGAACCCGGTACCACTGACACTCAATGCAAATGGAGCGACCATCTGCGAAGGTGCCAGTGCCTTACTGAATGCCACCGGTGCAGCCACTTACCAATGGACACCTGCTATCGGTTTGAGCTGTACCAACTGTGCCACTCCACAGGCCACACCAACAACTACTATAACTTACACCCTGACAGGCACCAGCGCCAGCGGTTGCAGCAATAGTATTCCGGTAACTGTAAACGTAAATCCTAAGCCCCTGATTAGTGCTGCCAGTCAGCAGATATGCGCAGGTGGATCAACGAGCCTGTCTGCCAATGGCGCCAACACCTATGTATGGAGCCCGGCTACCGGCCTGAGCTGTACCAATTGTGCTAATCCCACGG